CCAATATTCTTCGGGTACTGAAGCCGCATTTAATCGCAGTTCTTCCCTTGTTGAATAAGTCATATGTTCAGGCTAGAGGTGGGAAGTTTAGTTCACTTTCCTGATTTCGATCTTTCGATCTCGTTCATTAAAGTGAATAGTACAAAAGACTAGTTCGTTTAGTTCACTGATTTATAATCGGATTTGTCGGATTTACGTAGTTTCGTTCGCGAACTACACTTCTCTAGTAGTTCAAGTGAACTATATTGAGATTGATTGATTGATTTGCACCAAAGAAGTGTTCTTGGAATTGCACTTGCTGCTGGTCAAAATGGTACGCTGTTGCCAAGACCATTAAGTGGTTGATTTGGTTGCCTATTTTAGGGAGAATTACGAATTTGCGTGAAAAAAAATCCATTAGTAAATACGGATATAATGAAATATATCTACGGATTTTTAGTTTAGTTCGAATTGATTCGCTCTTTTTAGTTTTGGTGATTGAATCTTTTAGTTCAGTTACGAAATTCGATCTTTAGAACTAGTTCGTTCGCGAACTACACACCTCTAGTTCAGGCCACGAAAGTATACCCTTATTTTCCCACCGATACGGCATGCCGTGTGCACAACGGTAAAATACCTATATTCCCTGCTTCTCCTTTGTTGATACAATTTTAAAATAATTGCCCAACTAAAATATAATTATTAAACTATTTGGACAACAATATTGTGTAACACACTTACCTTTTGCATTGTTAATATTTTATTTATTAGTCACAAAAACACTGTTTTTTTACACGCTCTAACGTAGCAACCGGGTAGAAAAGTTAGGTTAGGTTAAGCTATTTTGCGAAGTGACGGGCAAATCTTCTAAGTAGCAGCGGTAACTATGATGTGGCGAAAGAGGTCACGGCGACTTTGCTGTTACTCTAGCGTAATGCAATGGGTCCATTGGGAACTTTGTAAACAAAATTACTTTTTAGTGCCACTTTATTCGTAGCCGCCTAAGACTTTGAAGTATAAATGTATTAAAAGTAATATTTCATAGTTAATCCTACTATAAAGTTGTTTATCGTAAAATCGGCCATTTGCATTCGTATTTTAACAAAGCCATTTTTGTTGGATATTAATTAATAATGGCAAAACAAATAGTTTCACTTATACTGGCATAGAAAATATGAAATATTGTCACAAACATTAAGTATAAAGTACCAAAATGAAAAAAATATGCTTTTTTTTAAATTTGGTCATCACTTATAAAAACATAATTTATTTTTAAGCTAACAGAGTTAATAAAAAAATTCACCGTCGAATTTCCCGTGCTGGATTTAAAAGTATAATTGTTATATTTGACAGTAAACTTGCATTCGTTTGTGTTTTACCCCTTGGACCATCGCGAATTTAGCAAGTTTGAATTTGTAATAATGCTTGATAAAGTTATATGCGCCAACATTTTGATTTCAATGAAGGACAGCATGAACTTTGTAGAAAGAAACGTAATGCGTTTTATATTTTGCTAGAAAGAAATAACAATAGATGATACAGTTTTAAAAGGGTAGGGGAAGGTATTTATGCATAAGGTAACTATAGTTACCTTAAAGTTGCAGGAACTTGTTTGCCACGTTGCCCCTACCAACCTACTACGTAATGGAAACGTAGCCGCCGCGGTTTAAGGAACGTCGCGGAAACGTGACCTTAACCAGTAAATCATTCCCCATTTAGGGTCCGCTTACTAAACCGGAACGTGCCCACTACGTGCCTGTAGATGGTAATCATACCTTTTGAAGTAGCTTTTGTAGTTGAGTTTACGTGGCAACCACTTTGTGTGCTAGTTGGGAGCTCTTTCTTAATGCGACTAAGATATCCAAAGTAGTGTTCTCTATGAGGCAACTGTCTGAGAGTTCTGTGAAATTTCTGGGAGTGTATCTTAACCCTAAACTGCAGTGGAATAAACATATAGAACATCTGAACAAAAAAATTAACACAAATATTTTTGTGAAATATGACCAATTGTGTTACTCTTAATGTATTGCTGGAGGCATACTACGCCCTTATACATGCAAATGCATCCTATGCCATAATTGCATGGGGTCATGCTACAGATAGCAGTTCAGTTTTTGGGCTGCAAAGGAAAGCTGTCCGAATTCTGGCAGGTTTGTCTTTTAGACAAGATTGTAGGGATGCCCTTATTAAACTTAAATAAAAATACTGACAGTACCTTGTATTTACATACTTGAGCTTCTAAATTTTATGAAAAAAAAATAGTGGCCGGTATGAACGACATGAAAATGTGCATGCATATTACACACGGGGAAACCAGGACCTAGTTCCAGGATATTGTCACTTGAAGAGGTGTCAAAGTGGTTCGAGATTCTTAGGAATAAAAGTTTTTAACAAACTACCACATCTAGTACGTGAGCTGCCACTTCAAAAATTAAAAAAAAAAGTTAAGCAATATTTGCTACACAGCAAACGGAAAATTATAGAGGTGTATAGGATGACGCCACGTTTGAATATCGATTTCTAAATCTCCCTACGGTATAGAGTTGTATTCGTCAGTCGAGCGTTTCAATACTCTCCACAGTATAGAGGTCGTAATTTCACTTTTGAACTAGTATTAATATAAAAATTATTTTATGCTTAAAAAAACTATATACGACATGATTGTGATTTTTTTCATTTTATTAATTAATTAAGCTGTGTTGAATATTTTTCCTAAAGGAATAATTGCCAATGGGCCATTAATTCATTTGTTCGTAGATGCTACAATAACCTGCACTGGTGTGTACTTTTTCATCAACCAGATTTAAATATTACAAAATTAACATATACCAGTGGAGATAGTGCAGGGTCTACCAACAGACCTAATTACTAAATTATTAAAGTTTAATAGCATATCGATCATTTTTCAACATAACCTCTTAAATTTTTAATACAAATATACTTTATATAATACATAAATATACTTAACATCATATCCTCTGTGCTTTACATACCTGAGTTGTTACGGTAAATAAAAATCAGACAAAGGAACCAAAGAAAGGAACTATTTTCAACAAAATCATATGGAGAAATGAGAAAATTCATCCATCAAAAGATCAAAACTTCTTGCAATATTACACCCTCTTTTTATACTCTCAGAAATATTGACTAGAACAGTATTAGAGAGACTCCAGTTTCTATAACTTGGTAGAGTAAAGAGAAGTCGAAACCGTTGCGATATTGCATTGCGCTGTTTTTGTATAATTCTCGGGGACATTAACGAAAATCATTGCCAGTAAAATTCGAAAAGCTTGAGTTTCTATGTCTCTGAGGAGAATAGGAATCCGAAGTTGCTGCACCATTGGACTGAACCCTTTTTTAATAATTTCTAGAGACATATATGACTGCACCATTCGACAGGGTCGAGTTTCTATTCCTCTGTTGAATATAGAAAATCAAAATAATGTATCTTGTAAGACACCATTGAGTTTGACTTTAAATATAGTCGTGCATAGGTATAGAGCCGAAAAATATAAAAACAAAGCACGATTCAATACAGTTATGATAAAACTTCAAACGCGAGTCATCCTATACACTTCTATAATTTTTCGTTTGCTGTGTACTCAATGCCTTTTACTTAGTAGACGAATTTTTAAATAAATCATATGAAATGTAAATAGGTACCTAATATTGTATTGTATGGGTAATATTGTATTGTATTTTTAAATAGATTTATGAAATTTCAGACTTCTTTTAATATGTCTTAATTTTTGAAATATGCTTTTTACTCAGTGGACAAATTTTTAAATAAAACATGAAATATAAATAGGTTATTTTGATATTTTAAACTACTTTTAATAATTTGTTTTAAATTTTATTGTTTAGGTTAGGTAACTATTTGTTTTTGCTTTTGTAATTATTGACTTGTGTAAATACTTATGTATATTAACACGAAATAAAGATCTATCTATCTAAAGTGACACTTATGTGTGAAAAGTGACAGGTCTGTGTGAAAAGAAATTGACAGCACCGTTTGACAATTAGACGTCGATTTCTTCGCATGATTTGCGCGATTTCATTAAAATTTGTATTGCATTTGTATATGTGTATGTCTAAATACCATTTAGATCACAATTAATTTTGTATAATAAATTTTAATTTTTAGTGCCTTTATTTAAATTGAGAAGGTATGTTAATTGATTTTAAGTGCATTATGAATAAGATGAAAGTAATTTTAACAGATGTCAAACACGTTTTTAGGATATTTTGTTTTGTATTAGAAAATAATAAAAATTAAAAGGGTAGTAGAAAAACAATGTGTTTTACTTGTGAAAAAGCTTTCTTCAAGCTCGTGTTAATGCATGAAAACAACACTTAAAAAACAAATAACTATTTATTTCAATAACTTTTAAGGAGTTATTTAAGAAACTAAGAAAAAAATGACGCATCTTGCCGAAAATTTAAAAATTACAATAATTATAATTTCTCGGTTATTTATTATCGTAGAACCTTCTAGTTGAGATTTGTGATTATTTTAGCCTAAAAATTATTTACACAAAATTTAAGAAAAAATCTATGTTGGTGTGTTGAACTGCACTGTTTTATCCGACGTGGGTATACTTTGTTACTGTGCGCGTTAGTTGATTAAATCGGGGGATCTGTAAGCGGCAAGCTGCGAACGTTTGGCTACTGCCGTATAGATGTCTGTTTCCGCCTGGCACCTGGCAAATTTGTAAAAGCCCGAGGGACTCCCGTCTCCATGGTAACGTGGCGAGGGTTTCGGCGCGCCGAATCATGTGAAATACGAGTTGAGGATTCCAATGCCGAGGAAAGGATTCATATTTAGTGAAAGCAAAGCCGCCTCACGTGACGCGCTACTTGCTGATGCCGACAACCAGTCTGGCGAGTGCCCCGAGTTGCCGCAGGCTACTTCCTCCGTGTCATCAATTGTCAGCTGATTCGTACAATCAGTTGAAAGTTACCTCTGACGTGCGAACGCCGATACTAAAATTCCTCGTGTCCGGTTGTAAAATAATGTGAAAATGAGCGTAACAGACGGCATGGTTGATGGGGTGAATTCACCCGGCTATTACGGCCGATCTGGCATCCTTGAAACGCATGTTCGCGGTCAATGGTATCGCGTGTTCGTTACACTTGAAGACGATTACCTCAGTATTACGCTGGATGAATCGTATGAAAACACAACAACGCTGAACGGCACACTGAACAATAACATTGAAACGCCGAGCGGACTTAGTGATTCTCCTGATGTACCGGATTCCGTGGCTAACCAAAAACGTTTGGTACGCGTTTGCAAGTCCGAGAACAACGGTCTTGGCATCTCCATTAAAGGGGGAAAAGAAAACAAAATGCCAATTTTAATAAGTAAAATATTTAAAGGCATGGCTGCTGACCAGACTGAACAACTATATGTTGGAGACGCAATTTTATCTGTCAACGGAGATGATCTACGAGAAGCCACACATGATGAAGCTGTTAAAGCTCTAAAGCGAGCGGGAAAAGTTGTGGAACTCGAAGGTAGGGTTCTATTCGCATATCTCCGGAAAATGATATATTATCCTGCTATCCGGTTTAAAACATTTTAAGCAAACACGGACACTAAATTTTTTTCAAATAAAATAATCAAAACAACTCTTTTGATGAACATAATGGAAAATATTAAACTTTTAAGGGCCAGAATGAAGGACCACCAATGACCACAAAAATGAAAATAAATTTATTTTCATTTTCTTTACACCTGCTAATGACCCTTTGAAGTAGAAGCAGTAATACAATAATAAATAAATTTAATTTATACTGAATTAATATTCAGTTGTGTTATTAAGTTGTTCCTAATATTTATTTAATATTGTTTAAAAAATGTAAATATTTATTATTTAAAATGCTATGTTAAACTTATTTATTTATGTAAGCCCAACTTTGAGTGCCACAAATACCTACTAAGGTTGTTAATTGTTTCGACCTTTACTTGATTCAACTCCATATTATTAATATAAGAAAAAAAAACAACAGTGTTTTAAAGTTTCACTATTTTATTTATGTATTTTAAGAAAATAACAATTGTTTCGCTATAGGGTAGCTTCTTCAGAACTTATTCTGAAGAAGCTATAGCACGGTATACCGTGTAGCGAAACAGTTGTTAATAAAAAAACATAAATTAAATAGTGAAACTTTGAAAAAGTTTTTATTCATATTTAAATTAAACTAAGGTACCTATATCTTAACAAATGTTTTTATACGTTAATCAATAATTTCATTGATTACTCGAAAACTTCTAGTAGACGTTATAAGTAGTAAAGTATTGTTATCTACAAATTTGGTAGTTATTTAGATTTTTTTTAGTTTGGTATTTGATGGTACTAAGTATGGTAGAGAACTAGTATTACATTAATAGTTGCTTTTTAAAAGTTTAATTCTTAATAAAATTAGTAAAACAAAAATTAAAAGAATACTGGATCCATGGATGGTTTTAGTTAGAATTAAATAGGTAATATTTTATTAGTATTACATTTGCCCTCAAGTGCTCAGCATGTTTTTATGAATCTTATTAACACCAAATTTAGCAAAAAACAACCGAAAGGCCTCTGGTGTGTAAAATTCAGGTGAAAGAACTTATTCCGTGATGTTGGCTCATGTGACCTAACCTTATGTATATATTTACAAAATAATTTGGTCCTTAAAATAATATTTTGAAGACACGGAATAAAAATCCCTATCTAAGATAGCGAGATGGAAAGGCGTAGTTAATCTAAATCTTCGAATAAATTAATAAAAAAAGCTTTGGAAATAAAAGGACATAAAATAACCTAGCTCTTGGTCACAACTAAAAATAACATTTTCAGAAGAGTTTTTGAAAGCTCGATAGTGACAAATATTACTTATTAGACTATCTATTTTGTTATTTAAAAAAATAGTTATTTTTACAAAATGTTTATATTATAATTGTGTTTAAATAACCATTTACAATTATATGACCTTGATGAATAAATTAACATTAATGATGTACATAAATAAACATTCCATAAAAAAGTAAAAATAGATAATGATAAATTAACCTCTGCAGTTATAGAAAAAAAGAAGAAATAAATAAATAAAAGAAAATTAAAGTTAAATCTCAAACATTATACGAATATATATTTTTGGTACGAAATAAATAAATGACGCTTAAAAAATCCAACTAACAAAAATAATATACCTATCAAACCGAAATATAACAACACCCTTTCTTTTTGTATTACCGTGAGACAACGATGTTATGGCATCATAAATTATTAATGTAACAAGTAGACAATTATTTCAGATGCACACTCGTAAATACAATTTATATACAAAATGTCTTATTTGTGTATCATATTTTTTTGCAAAGCTGTATAAAATATTAATTTAATTTTACTTGAAATAAAGAAGTAAATTCAGAAGTACCTACTTGTAATAAATTTTATGACAATAATAATAATCATTATAATTATCCTCCCAAAGTGAATTAACTGATCTAGTATCTAGTTGATCTAGTTGGTCTAGTTGATCTAGTATCTAGTTGACAGCATAGTTATTCGCGTGCGTATTTTAATTCTTAATTGTCATGAGAATTAAGAATTAAAATAGTATTTGCACTTGTTAATTAGTACCTATTAATTAAATTATAAATAATATTTTAAATAAAAATTAATTAGAAAGTTGATATAAATTCGTACTATTTTTTAAATTAAATTTTTAAAACTTGCCATGAATTACTAATTACAATTCCAAGATTATTTATTAATTATAAGCTAATAATGATTATAAGTATAATACGTATCCAATACAATAAGAAAACCATCTAGATAAAGGTTTGGTCGACCGGTCATACTTGTTGGAGCATACTAAATAATTAAGTTATTTGCTTTACTAGTTTTAAAGCCTAACACCATAATTTTATTATCAAGACGTACTGATCACTTTAAATAATAGTGTTTTTATGGCAAGTCTTTGTACCGATTAATTAAGAATAATAATTTATATTTTAAATGAAACGCGCATTTGACCAAGTCATACCTAATAAAAAATCTTTTAAAATGGGAAATCACAATGACATATCATTTCAAAAATATAGTTCTGTGGTAATGTAATATACAAGTTTACCTACATTCTATAGAATGTAGGTAAATTTTTTATGATCACAAATATTCCAGCTTTAAAAAAACATAAATAATATATCTATTGGGTACTCCAAAAAGGCCTCGACAATTTTGCGTATGATTTAAACATTCTTGTTTTAAATAAAATTCATTTAACAAAATTTTCTTAATTTTGATTGATTATCTTTTACCATAATATGGGGCTATAGTATATCCGCTATACGGTGGATGCGTTAAAACTTCCCAGTCAAGCTTTTTCAAAATTCGGTTCATTAAATTTTCAGCATTAATATTACAAATATTTCAAAAACTTCTCGTCTGGCAATAGCCACGAGAGCCTGTAGGGCTTGAGGGGCTATTCTCTAATGAGAACGATATAAGATTTATAGAATTTTGTTACGTTTTGACAGATGTCATATTTTTTTTTTTTAAATAATGTACAGTATACTGTATACTAACCTATAGGTTATTCAAATTGTAATAATGTTTTGATTGAATAAATCATACACACACGACTATATACTTTAGACTTTAGACTTTTTAAAAAAGACTTTATAAAAAATAATAAGTTTTAGTTGGTTATTTTTAACTTTTAGCGAATGTCTACATTTGGAGAAATTTTGATAAATTTTAATTTCACTCAAAAAGTATTAACATTTTCCTAATTAATATATTTACAAAGGATACCTAAAATAGTGTGTAGAATCTAAAAATGCAAAAAAATACAGGGTGTTCCATTGAAAATAAGAAATTTGGTATCGTCCCACGGAAAACCGAACACCCTGTATAAATAAAAATATAATATTTTAAAAATATTTTTTACTACGTGAATATTTCTCCCTTACAAATTTTTCCAGTAGTTTCTGAGATAAGTATATGGGTCACCTTACGTGGACCACCCTGAACATATATGTATATTAGGGTGTCCAACATTTAAATTAAAGTAAAATTTCCTGTATTCTGTTTTATGTATAATTTATTAGAGATTTTTTCTTAGATCATTAAAATGAAAAGTAGGTAGGGTTAAAGGACATGGGAATTTTTTCTAAAATTGTTTTTATTCACTTAAATAAAAAAAATCAACTTGGGAAATAATTTATACATTTTATACTGTTTTATGTATAATTTATTTGCGAGCTATGATTTTTATCATTTAAATGAATAGTAATCGGATTTTTTTCTAAAATAGTTTTTATTCTGTAAACAATTAATTTATATGATACATATAGGTATTCTTAAGTGAAAAAAAACAACTTGGGAAATTATTTATACATTTTATACAAATATATATTTCTGACATGTATTGCAATTATAATTATTAAAATTAAAAAGACATAAAACAGCTCGTAAAACAGGCATTATTTTTTTTAAATATATAAATTATGAAAAACTTTGTTTCAGTATTACCTAGTACAGTACAGTACAGTAGCAGTTATACGTTTAGTAAAACTTTTTATTTAAAAAAATTCCACCAGGATATATAATATGTATTCTGGTGGAATTTATATTATGGTTCGTAATTTTTAAATTCTTGTAATATTTTTATAAAGTTATTATTATGAATGGTTTGGAATGGTTTTTAAAACATTACAATATTTGCTTGTATTTTTTAAGCATTTTGTTACATTTCCATATAAGATTACTGTGAATCTTAAACTAAAAAATTAAAAATTTACATATTTTCTTAAAAAATACCTGTGCCAAAATAATTGGATTTTTAGTTTTACAAAATAACTTATATTTTTATAATTATGTTAATGAGAATTGAGTTTTTAGTATACTATACAGCAATTTAAATTTAAATATAAACACATTTTTGTATAGGTATAGAACAACACATTTATAGTATAATATATTATAACCTACACCTTTTCCAATTGTATAATACAATTTGTATTACCGAAAGCTTTAAAAGGTTAAATGTATTTTAGAAAAAATTAAATGTATTTCAGAATAGTAAAATATTCTTCAGAAAGTAAATTCCGAGTGTAATTCATAATTCGTTGACTGTATTTCAGTAAGCGTCAAATGAAATTCAGAAGCCATTAAATGTATTTCAGAAAGCGCTTTCTGAAATGCATTTGACTATTTTGAAATACATTTATTACAGCTTCGCCATCTGGAAAGCGGAAATATCGTAGTTTAGCGGATTACTTTTAATAAGGAACTTAGCTCTCTGGTGGTTTTTCTGTGGCATTAAATAACTTAACACCACTAAACGACTAGTTTATTAGTTGTATACATCCTATTGGAGTAGATAATAGTATATTATCTACATTATCTATATTATTATCTATAATGAAGTTTGCCTGAGGAGATAATAATAATGCGCATTATCTCGAGTGTAATATTATGCTTTTTCTACTCCAATTAAGTTATTTTTATTAACAATATAATTTATTGTAACCTCACTTTCTCCCGATTTTAAAGATAATTATAGTCGCCCCTCGTATATAAAAAAATCGGACATCTGCTAGAAAGTTCCACCTCACTTTTTTACAATTTAAAACCCGATTTGTTCAAATCACAGTAAATATTGATATCGGCCGGTATAGGCATCATTAAGCCTAACAACTTAAATAATAAGTTAATTCTTTGTTAGGTAGGCGGTTATAATGGTTACCATTATAAACGTTTTGATTATTAATAAATAAATTTACAGATGTATATTATATATATATATATATACATTGTATAAGCACAAATGCATTAAAAATAGCATTTACTTTTCTGCAGTTGCCTGTATTATTGTGCAAGTAGGTATTAGTATGCCTGGTACTTAAAATAATTATGAACTGCAATTCCGCCTGATGCTAATATCTAGCATGGCAATTAAAATTAATTTAAGCAAATGCAACAGAAAAAAGAAAAATATGCAATAAAGGTAAAATATAGCATATCCTTTTTAGAAATAAAAAACTTATAACGCAACATGGTGTTGTAGGTTTATTACAGTCTGCCTGCGCGCAGCTGCGCTTAGTATTTTGTGTGGGATATGTAAATACATAAGTATGATGTCAGTGTCTATGATGTGCGAGAAATAAACATTGGTCATCCGTTTAATTAATTAATGAATTATTTTACTAATATTAAAATAGTTATTTTGTAAACATAAAATTTATATGAAATTTTATTTTAATATTTTGTAAAATACGTACCTACATATGTATGTGTCGTTAATAATTATAGAATAGAATAGTTTATTATCATCAAAAAAAATGTTACATGACTAGTCAAAAATTTCAAGTTACAATAAAATAAAAACACAATAGGTACAATAAATAATTAATAAGTAAACACAGTGTACCTATATACAAAATAAAATCAATGAATACAATTAATACAAAAAACATTATAAACATTAAAATAGATGGAGGTAGTATCATTTTTTTAAATTGACTCTCAATATTTAATTTGTAGAATTTAAATGATTCCATCACACGAAATATTGGTTAAGTCAGGAAGAAATTTTACGTATTTCCAGGGACAACATTGTCAAAAACTTTTTAAAAGTTTCTTTCTTATAAAATACCTATATTTTGATGCTCTTTTTCAAGTCTATAATAAAAATTTGAATCATCTAAATTATAATCAAAACACACAACCAGAAATTATATGTTTTTTAGGGATAAGAAAAAAATAAATTGTGTCACGGTGAATCAAACTAGTTAATATATATTTTAGCTTCTTAATTCGAATCCGAGGTCAAGATTTAGAAGTTTGCTCTCACTTTCTCCAATCCTCAAAAATGTTGCGTTCAAAATGTATCCAATATTTTGACTTTAGATTAAAGCGCTATTGATACACTAGAAGTATCCAAAATTTCTTCTAAATTCATTTAAGTTTGGGAATACATTAGCATATTACACCTGTGAAACCGGAAGTGGCATTTTGTTTAAAATATTTTAGAAAAATAGGCTTAATTGAAAAATAAACGCTTTTAAAATTTCAAATCGATATCTTTTGCCGTTCCTCAGAAACTTATAATGGACTACGAACGTAAAACACCCGGATTTCGTAAATGTGCAACACCCTGTAAAAATTTAAATAATTTTTTCTAAAAAATATACAGTCTAAAAAATATACAGTCTATCGAAGCTAGTAGTATATTATGTGCCAAATACTAGTAGTATATTATGTGCCGAATACCGTGGATAACATTTTATTGAATCGCACTTAAAAAAAATAAATGACGATCTAAAAAAATGCCGAAACATGGGTATCATTTTTTTAAGTCTAAGTCTATTTTCAAAATCTATGTGAATTTTTCATGGCAAATTTTGTCGTACTGTGTTATTTAAAAACAGCTAATTACCTTTAAAAATTAAATAGTTTTTTCTACACCCACCTTTAAAACCCCCATTATAGTACATGTTTCCATGACACTTAGTGACCTTTTAAATACACATTGAAAAGTTGTGACTCTATGGCGTTTTAGTCACGGGCTGAAGTTATTATTAATTTAGTTGACAGTTGTCAAATGTCATACAATCGTTAAAATAAAGTGACTTTCTTGTAAAATAATACTAAATGTGAAAATTATTTTATTATCTCAATACAAAAGTATTAAATGGTTTCTCAACGCCAATATTTGAAAAGTTTATATGAACATTGTACTGACCTTTTAATTTCTCTGGCAGTAAACTATAACTTAAATTCGGGCTCGGACCCCACTGTAAAGTGCTCATAAAACATTTTCTTCACTTTCACTGTAAAAAACTGTACATTTTCAAGGAATACATTTCGATTTATTACCTTTATAATCTGTGTTTATAAAACAGAAAAATTTTACATTTGACGGTGGCACAGATTTCCCTATTGTTTTATAGATGGCGCTCTATACAAATATTTGATTTAAATCATTTTAAGATAATAAGTATTTGAAGTAAAAAAAGTATAGTATGCACGTGCAGGTACCTCATTTATAAACTTTTCTATATAATCATTAATTTAAGCACTTGCTCACAAGCTCGCCTAAATTAAATTCGTGTATAAAAAGGCGTTTATCAAACTTGATACATTATATATATATTATAATATTAAAATGCTATATTATGAATCAAGTTTGATCAACGCCATTTTAGGCACGAATTTAATGTAGGCACGAGTGAGATTGTGAGCGAGTGCTTAATTAAAAGAGAAAAGTTTATACTTTTTCTACGACAAATACTTATTATTATCTAAAAATGTTTTAAATTAAAAATTTGTATAGAGCGACATCTATTAAACAATAGAATCTGTATTACAGGCACGCCCGTGAAAATGTCAAATTTTTATGTGTAAATCGAAATGTATACCTTAAAAAATGGACTGTTTAATCCGATATAGAAGCAGTTTTCGGCACTCCACGGTGGAGTCTCGATCCGAAATTAAGTTAAATCTAGTTTACTGCCGGCGAAATTGAAAGGTCAGTACAATGTTCTTTTTAAATATTGGTGTTGAGAAACTATTTAATATTTTTGTATTAAGATAGTAAAGTAATGTTTACATTTAGGATTATTAGGACAATGTGATGCAGACATAGGTAATGGGTGATTACTCCAAGGTGAAGAAGACTTGGCTTATGGCAGGATATTTTTTTATAAGAAGATCTAACAGATTTGAAAGGCATGGAAAGAGGGAGTAGTATAATTGGTTTAAAATCAGTGGCGGATGCAGGGGGTGTTTATGGGGTGCAGGTGTCTTAAGAAAAAACGTTCAAAACGTGTTTTTGTCTAGTTTTCATGATACTGAAAATAAATTATATGAATTATATATACATATATATATATATATACAGGGTGGCCGATTTATCTGAAGACATTGAAATATTTCGAAAACTACGCATCGGATCAAAAAAAGTTTTGAATAAAATTTGTTCGCCTGGAAGGGGGCCATCCAATGATACTAAAGTCGACCCCTCCCCACCACCCCCTGGGGTGGGGGTGGGGGCAACTTTAAAATTCTAAATAGGAACCCCCATTTTTTATTGCAGATTCGGATTTCCCATTAAAAAAGAAGTAACTTTTATGGAAAACCTTTTTTTTAATTCCTGATAGATGGCGCTGTAATCGCAAGAAACCCTATTTTTGGGAATATCTTGAAAAATTGCAGATTCGGATTTCCCATTAAAAAATATAATTAGTGTATACGAGAATTGTTAGGGAATTCAAAATAAATTAAATTAATTAATTCCTTTTGATATTGGTACAAATAAAAAATATTTATACCTTATTAATGCGTCCAGGTATGTACATATGTAGGTACCTATGTTATAAAAACATATTTATACCTTATGCGTCTATAAAAACATATGTTCCGTTTTTATAGACGCAACATTCGCAGTTGATTTAGAAACGAACGAGTGAGAAATGAATGCTGCAACCATAGAAGAAAAAAATTAAATGATTCTAATTTTCGGAGAATGTAGGCGGAATATTGACGATGGTGTTGCCTTATATGCTGAACGTTTTCCAGATAATATTCTTTCACGCTCGTTTTTTTATAAAGTTGTTCAATCCTTTAAATCCGACGGTAGTGTACAACTTAAAAAAAGAAAACGAAGAAATACTGTCACAGGAGAAGCTAATGAAATTAATGTGATAGCAGATGTTCAACATAACCCTCATGTAAGCACTCGGGAAATACATCGGGATCTCGGGATTTCCAGAGATAGTATTCGGAGAATATTGAATCGTCACAAGTATCACCCATACCAGGTTTCACTGCATCAGGAACTTCATGGCAATGATTTTCATCGGCGAGTAGAATTTTGTGAATGGGCAGTTCAGCAAATACAAAGAAATCCCAATTTCTTCGCTAATGTACTATTTTCAGATGAGTCCACATTCACAAACCATGGTTCCGTTAATCGGCATAACATGCACTATTGGAGTGTGGACAATCCCCACTGGTTACGACAAGTTGAACATCAACGCCCCTGGTCGGTTAACGTTTGGTGTGGAATTTTAGGTAACAAACTTTAGGTTCTTTTTTCATTGATGGAACCTTAAATGGAATCAAATATCAAAATTTCCTGGAACATGAACTACCACCTCTACTTGAGGATGTTGCCCTGATCATTCGACAAATTATGTGGTTTCAGCATGACGGTTGCCCAGCCCATTACTCAGCAACAGCACGGGAAGTATTAAACCGTGATTTCAATGGCCGATGGATCGGCAGAGGTGGCCCGGTTAATTGGCCTGCTAGGTCACCTGATTTGACATCGCCGGATTTTTTTCTGTGGGGTTATCTAAAAGATAAGGTTTTTCAACAAGCACCAACAACTCGGGAATACATGATACAGCGCATAAGAAACGCTAATGCTGAAATTCCCGCAGAAATGCTCCTCTCCTGTGTACAATCATTTGAAAAAAGAATAAATAAGTGTCTAGAAGTTCAGGGTCACAATTTCGAACATTTAATCTAATTTATTAAACAGTGAGAGGCAGGGGGACTCTCTTAAAACTAGCACCCCGATGGGAACAAAAAACTACTGCGTCCTGGTCCTTGTTCTTGGGTAACGGTAAAAATAGATGTTAACTTATTGATATACGAATAAAATCCAAAAATTAAACAAGTTTTTCTTTTTTTCGATCCTATGTGTAATTTTTTAAGATATTCCCAAAAATCGGGTTTCTTGCGATTACAGCGCCATCTATCAGGAATTAAAAAAAGTTTTTTCATAAAAGTTACTTATTTTTTAATGGAAAATCTGAATCTGCAATAAAAAATGGGGGTTCCTATTTAGAATTTTAAAGTTGCCCCACCCCCACCCCAGGGGGTGGTGGTGAGGGGTCGATTTTGGTATCATTGGATGGCCCCCTTCCAGGCGAACAAATTTTATTCAAAACTTTTTTTGATCCGATGCGTAGTTTTCGAAATATTTCAATGTCTTCAGATAAATCGGCCACCCTGTATATATCAATTCAATTTTTTTTTATTTATTCATTTAGTTATTACTTTTTTATGTTTTAATTTTTGTTCATTTTCCACATGTAATTATCTTTGGATAAATTTCAATACACAAGAACCTTCAGTTAGGTATTTTAAATTTAGAACAAAATATAGTCCAAATATTAACTGAAAAGCTTCAAAAAAACTTGCACATTGAAGCAATCTTTTTTTCAATATAAATATCAAGTTATTTAGCTGCAACAGAAAAATATGTAAAGAAGTTTTAAACTATGCCTATACTGTTACAGTATATTTACATTTTTTTATAAAACTTCTTTACATATTTTTCTGTTGCAGCTAAAGAACTTGATATTTATATTGAAAAAAAGATTGCTTTAATGTGCAAGTTTTTTTGAAGCTTTTCAGTTAATATTTGGACTATATTTTGGGCACACCCATATCTCAGTTATTAGACATGGGACCCACATCAAATGGGGCGCAAGCAGAAATTAAATTAAAGTTTGCAAAAAAAAGTTAGTTTTTAAGTGTGCCCCACCAGCCTCCTGCCCCACCAAATTAAGATAATTTAAATTAAAGTGGTACAATATTTAATTACTGAAGTTTATCGACAAATTTCAAATTTTATTAAAAAAATTCAAGTATTACAGATTTTATACCACTTCTAATTTTTTTAAAATTTAGTAAAAGAAATCATAAAAATTTAAAATAAATTAAAAAAAAATAAAATTTGAAATTTGTTGATAAACTTCAGTGAATTAAATATTGTACCACTTTAATTTGAATTATCTTAATTTGGAGGAGCAGGAGGCTGGGGGGGCACACTTAAAAACTAACTTTTTTCGCCAACTTCAATTCAAATTCTGCTTGCGCAGAACTTGTCTATATAATGTCATTATAAACTCATATAAATTTGATGTGGGTCCCATGTCTAATAACTGAGATATGGGTGTGCCCAAAACCCACCAGCCACCACATAATACACTTACCTATCTTTACAACAGTCTCACCATATTCTGCGTATGGAATCTAAAATAAAATATTTATTTAGATAGGTGAGCACCTTTATAAACAATACTATATACTATACATATACTATGATAATTTTTTTTATATTTAATTTAAAAATTATACTTACCTACCTTTATTTAAAAAAATATCGCTAAAAAGCATTTAACGCTTTGAGAATCTGCAACATCACTGCAATATGATTGTTTAATGTGTACATATATTTTTTTATAAGTTAATATTTTAAATGATTCTTATATCGAATAATTGCTTTATATGTTAATTGACAAATATATTACATTTGTAAATCATACTTACCACAATAAAAAGGAACAAAACGGCACACGCTTTAACAAGGGACACGTTCTAACCAAAAAGACATTGATTCGATGCATGCAAAGTTGTTGGGAGCGTCACGAGATATACATATATATATATTTGATTGGTCGAACTTTACAATTAGTTTGTAAAATTACAAAAATATTGTATGTTTCTGTCACGTGAGTATTTTGCTTTATTTTATTGGTTATTTTTTTACAATCAAATAGTAAAAATGTTAAGTTTTTGTAAAAATGACAGAAATTCCTTGTAATTTTATTTTTACATGCATTTCATGATAAAAATACCTTAAAAAACCAGATAATTTTACAATAAAATTACATCAATTTTTTTCAGTGCATAAGGGATTTTCGATTAGGCGAAGAATATACTGCAACTGTTCTTCTTTTTTAATTAGTGACTGGTGGTATTTTTAAAATAAGATCCCTCGTTCGGCAGTATCACGAAATTCTAATAAAACCGGATCCTATCGCCAATTCAAAGATGGTACTTTCAGGAATTATTTACTTTTGAATTTTTTTTTCAATTAGGTATATGGACCATAAAGAAGAAGATGATTATTTCAGTAATAAAATTGTCTATTGTGAAATCATTTTCCTTAGTTTAATCAAAGCGACACGTTGCGACGTGGACAATCAGACAATTTTGGACATAAGTTTTTTTACCATTAGTGCTCTTAAAGAAACCAAACATTCTTGGATAACTTTTTAGGATAACTAAAGCTGAATATAATTATAGCTCTAATTCCGAGTGGAGCTTTATTTCAATATTTCACATAAAGCAAGCTCAAAAATAGAGCCAAATATTCTAAATTATTTTTTCTCTAGTTGTTAAAGGTGACAATTAAAGAAGATAATTTTGCAAAACTCCTTATTGTTAGTTTGCTTTTGTATATTTGGGAAAAGGATTTTTAGGTAGCAAAACCAAATATTGAATGAATATAAACACACATGCATATATTCTTCTTGAAGTAATATTAAAAAATATATATAAACTAGAATAAAATGTATATTCTTATATGCACGAGCCTATTTTGGGGGATAATTACCCCCATTACCCCCCTTATCGACGGCTTTGGTTTCTTAAGTGCTCGTTATATCCAAAATTATAATTATAATAAGATAAAAGATAATTAATTTTTCTACACAAAAGTAGTTAAGTATAAAACTTATTCTCATGCATTTTCGTGCAAAAATATTTATAATTTAAAAATTTATAAAACATCCACTTTGTCGTTAATAGTTTATCGTTTATATCGTTTATTTATAAATAATTTAAATGGTTTTTTATAAAATCACTAAAAAATGAATGACGTTGAAAAATACGATATTGTTTGCAATTAAACTGGTATGTCTGGCGTGACGGTTTATCTGCTTTTTTAATTTTGTTGCGACATTTAATGACACTACAAAAAAACAATTCGACCATGATAATTAAAGCCTAGTAAGTTACTAGTAGTAACGAACTAATATCTGCAGGCTTTCAAAAATATTTAACCGAAATACGAATTACTATAATTTCTTGGTATTACAGTTTATTTTTGTTAACGCGAAAAAAATACATTATCGTTTTCATTGACATTGGACATATAATTGCGATTTTTTTACTTGTAAGCAAATCGCCTCTTGGCAAAAATAGTGAAACAACTCTCTAAGTGTGATATTCTCCAATTGAGAGCACTAAAAAGTCCATAGCGTTTACTAACTTTACAGCTATGCTAGCTAATTTGCGAAAATTTGTACCTTGATACTTTAGTTTTTTGAGTTGTCCCACTATTGTTGAGCACTATCCAAATTTTTTTATTTTAATTAATCAGGCAAACAAACGAAATGATGTAATATTTTGGATTATTGGATTTTTGGCCTCCAAGATGTCCAAACACAATAATACGAGGAATTACTATAGTACATATAAGTATTAAAATTGAATCAAGTAGAAAACGTAGCCGTAGACAAAGTAGGCAAATTTTCAACAGCTTTATTTTTGGATACAAATTGCAAAAGCCCTAGATTAGTGGTCGGCAATAGTGGGACCGTGAAATGCAGAAACCTAAAAGTATATTTTAAATTTTCGAAAGGAATTTTTAGAAAGCTGTCGAAATTCT